TTTTGAGATGCATGGCACATTGTTACCTGTGGTCACCTACCATGCAATAGCGTCCCCCAAACTTCTTTGGATGGACCAAGAAGCTGGGCCCAAAACAGAAAGCCCTATGTCTTAGCTTATGGGTTTTTGGTGGCCAAGGTGTCCAGTACAAGGGGTATCAGCTCCAAGGTCAGACAAGGCTCTTCAGTGGCAGCGCTTGGATTTTCCAGAAGTTCACAAGTCTCTTGCCTGAGTTACACATCTTGCCCTGGGACATGGGGTATGTTCCGGGAAGGAACATGGTATTTAAAAGTAAAACTGAGGGTAGGTGGTCAGAAAGAGGGGTAAACTGGAGACTGGCAGGTGTGCAGTGGAGGTCTGAGGGATGAGTTTGGAGGGGACAGGAGGAAGGGGAGTTTGCAGCATCGGGGCAGGAGAATCACACTTGGGAGGCAGAAAGGTACAAAAAGGGCCTGGACTGATGGCAGGGACCTGGGCTAAGGTGTGAATGGAGAAGGCAGAACTGTTGGGATGACAAGCTGTGGCTAAAGATGACACTTGCTTGGTCTGTGGCCAGGAAAAAGGATTTGAAGCAGAGGGTGCCTAAGTGTTCGAAATAGATCCTGGGGGTGACTTCAAGACAAAGCTTCCATGTAGGAGGTAAGGCCTGAGGCAGGTGCGGGCAGAGGAAGGAGATGATGCTACCTAGACCAGCAGCTCAGGCTCAGCATTAGAAGGCAAGAGGGCTCGAGGCAAACCCCTTCTGGGAGAACCACACTCTGCCCTGGGCTTGCGTTCCCTGGGAAGCCTCACTGAGGATTGGACGTGACCGTGGCTAACAGAATCTCTTCCATTTCACCACGCTCTAGTTCTAAATCTCTTCCCAGTAGTGTAAACCCAACACCCAAGAAATGTACTGTGAAGGAAACTCTTAGCATCAGAATACAGAAGCAGATTTGTTCACAACCAGGAATGGAATGGAAATGCCTCCCCAGGTGGGTGTGCACACCACCCAGCTGCAAAGAGCCCCTTTCTGATAATGAGGGACGGACAGAAGGCATTTAAAGACATGCAATAGAATGACTCAACTACTTACCCAAAAACATATGCCGTGATCTCCACCGTAAGTTATGATATGGATGAGTCAGTGAGAGAGCTAAATTTAGGATTTTCAAGGGGCCCTCCCCCCACCCCTCAATGCCGGAAGCTTCCATTTAACTCCAGGGAGGAGTAAAATGCTGACGCCAGCAATTTTTCACATTGCTACGACTAAGCTTCCCAGCACATTGGGATGAAAATGGCCGCAAGCATCACCCACCAGCAAGACTGAGACCAAAATGTCTCGGGGTCCTGGGGTCAGTTGATAAGAGGGGGCTTTTTGAGGACGGAATGCTTGGAGTCTGAGTATCTGTGGTATTGGAAAGGGGCCTCACCACCGGGACCATCAGAAGAGGACCAAGCCGTGGAAGTCAGTGGCCCAAATGAGGACAGAAAGAACACAGGGCCAGGGAAGATGGAGGAGTAAGTCACAGGCTAGAACCAGGAACGGGACACTGGTCCCGGGACCAGAACAGCAGAGCTCGCTAAAAGGTGCAGCTGAGAGTCAATAATGGAGCAAACCAGACAGACCAGGCTTTTACAGTTGAAGGATAAGTTCTTGCTCTTAAGCCTGAATTGCACCACCCACTGGGGCCCACTGCCTTTCAAGTAGCTGTGTGCAGGTTCATGTGTGCCAGTGCTGCTGTGACAGTTCCTCTTTGCCACCTTATTTGTCTCTGCTACAGGACAGCAGGCCACTGTGTTTCTCAGCATCTCAGTATAAACCATGTTAGGCTAAATAAATATCATAGCTAAATGTCACGGCAGGCAGCTTGGTGGATGGCAGTTCCTTTGCTCCTTCTCTCCTCAAGGGCAGTTACCGGTTTAAATCACAGGCAGTGTCTTGATTTCACCTGTGTGAATACAAGCTTGAGAAAATCAAGAAGACTTGCTGCCGTGCAGTCAGAGCGGTGGGAGGAGCGCCACTTGGAGGATGAAAAACGATTTTGCTAACTGTGCCACGACACCCATGACACATCAACTCAGGTGCTAGACGTGCTTGGCAATTCACTGGGGCCGCAGGGAAAATAAATGCCACCTTGAGCTTCTAAGAATGCAAACTCTAAGAGGCTGAGGCAAGAGGATGGTAAGTTCAAGCTCAGCCTGGGCAACATAGTGACTTAGCAAGACCCTGTCTCAAAATAAAAAATTTTAAAAAGGCTAGGAATCTTGCTCAGGGCAAAGGCCTTGGGTTCAATCCCCAGTATTAATAATTAATTAATTAGTTAACTGTTTACCTCAGAGAAGCTGAACCAGGCAACATGAAACTAACAGTTAAAATATAAGGATCATGGGGGCTGGGGATTTAGCTCAGCGGCAAAAGCGCTTGCCTGGCAAGCGCAAGGTCGTGAGTTCGGTTCCTGGTACCGGAGAAAAACAAAAACAAACAACAAAAAAAAACAAATATAAGGATCATGTGTAAAGAACACTGTGCTTGTTCATAAGCAAAAGATCAGAAAAACAAAAAAATAATATAAATAGCAAGGTACCAACCTATACTTAGCAACTTCTCAAACAGTGCTGTTGGGGTAAGGGGAGTGATTGCCATAGGTAAATTGGCAAGAATCTAAGGAAAAGAACAGTTTCATAGACTTTATCAGTCACTTTTCCACTTCTGACAAAGTACCTGAAAGACGCAATTTAAAAGAAAGTGGGCTCATTTAGGTTCACAGTTTCAGAAGTTTAGTCCATGGTTAGCTCCAAGGCAGGATCATCATGGCAGAAGGGCGTGGCAGACAAAGCTGCTTACCTCACGGCAGCCAGGAAGCAGAGACAGAAAAGGGGAAGGGACAGGGGACAAGAATACACCCTTGCAGGTCAGGTCCCCTTGACCCAAATCCTTCATCCAGGCCCCACCCTCTATAACAGTACATTCAGCTATGAATTTATATCTACTGGTGAGTTTAGTGCCCCCATGATCCAATCATCTTCGAAAATCTCCACCTCTGAACACATGAGACTTTTAGGGGATATTTTTGATCCAAACCATAACATATACTATCATATATCTTTGTGTAGGATAATGGAGTAATATGTGTCAAAAATTTCAATATTCATACTTTTGACCACGTCATAACTAACCTTAGGATTTATCTTCAGTATCTAACAGGACAAGGAAGGGCACAAATATGTGAGTTAAAGGATGTTCATTATAATGTTTTATAAGAGAGCAAACAATGTAAATGAAGTAAGTGGGGAAGGAACACAGTACTATAAATAAATTAAATGGGAATGTTCTGGTTAAGGAAAGTATGATACAACCATAATGATTGCTGTGCAGGCAAAAGTGATCATTGTTCTACCTTTCCTGGCACAGAAAGGTATATATGTGGTACTAAATGTAAAAGTGACTGGCTCACAGCCTCAAGTATTCATAGACATTTCTATCTATCAAAAAGGATTATATTTCTGTATCCATAAGTAGTCACATATATAGAACTGGGCTGAGAAAACTATTCACACAAAAAATGGAACAGTCATTTCCTCTGGGGATGGCATTGTAAGAGAACAGTGTGTGTATGTTTTTCAATATTTTCTGAGATTTTGTTTTGTTTTATTTTGGTGTTTGTTTTGCAATATAAGGAATTGAACCCAGGGGCTTCTGCATGCTAGGCAAGTACTCTACCACTGAGCTACATCCCCAACCCTTTTTATTTTTTGTTTTGAGGCAAGGCCTTACTAAATTGCCCAGGGTGGCCTCGAGTCCACGATCATTCCCATTGGCCTCATGCTGAAGCATTGTTTTGTTTTGTTGCTCTGTTTTGTTTTAAATCAATCTGATTTGTTTTTAATTAAGTATTATGGTCACATACAAATTTGTGCTCATGTTGTACCTTCCCCACTTTTAGTCCTTCCAATGAGCTGACAGGAAGCACCACTACCAATCACACATACAACAGTAGTTTCAGTCTTGTGTTTTTAAATAGCTGTTTAAATACTATCCTGAATGATAACTCAGTCTGACCTAAAGAATTCAAAAGTAAAGTTTATGAGCCTGTTAAAGGGAGTGGTTGAAGACAAGAAGCAATGTCTATATTTTTAGTCTTGACTATGCCGATTTAATTAGAATTCCCTGTATCTAAAAAAGTGCTGCCTTTTACTTATGGAAAGGCATTTTAGTGTGGTGTATGTGTAATGCCAAATGAAGTTTTTAAATAATGAGCCTGTATTTATTTCACAAACAGGAAAAAGGTTGCAAAAGAAGTAAAACAGTAGCAGTCAATGTTTCCCTCACTATTCGTGTTAGGAACCCAGAGAAATTAAGGAAACTCAGAGGACTTCGAAGAAATTAAACAGAGCTTTTCATTAAAGCTTCAAAGTCACGTTTTTGTTAGGACAGATTCGATTCTGTATCAACCTGGCTTTCAAACTCAGCAGGTTATAACCTATGACCTGGTTGAAATAAGATGGTTCAGCCCAAAATAGACAAGGTTATAATCCCATCAAAAGTGATGACCTTCAAAGAACTCCAAAAGGACCAAAAAAAGTAAGACAAAGGAAGCTGTAGGAAATCTATGTAGTTTACTGGAAACCAAAAAGACTACAAAAATATCGGCTCCAAAAATACCCCCAAAAAGTGTCTCTAGGAGAAATAGAAAGCAAAAATTTGGCATATGAATGTCAAAAATCCAGTGTCAAAGAGGTTTTGGAAACCAGTCGTGCGTCACCAATTATATATATCCAAGATCAGTGTAACGGGAACTCACTGCCAAAAGCAATGGGACACTTTTTGATGCCCTAAAAATCTCCTTCCAGTGGCTGCCTGAGAATTTAGCTTTAATGTGAATATTTTTACTCATGTAACCATTGGTGACCAAATTCTGACCTATGAAAAAGAAGAGACATAGCAATCATCAACCCATTCTACTAAATCATGTCTAAGACATATTTTACATAAAAATGTCTTTTCTTCTCACCTCTAGGAAAAGCACAAAGAAGAATCAACAACAATGGCCAAGTTGACAGAATCTATGAGTGAGTATGGAGGCATTTATTACTTACATTTGGTTTTCAATAGAAAAATACAAAATGATATGAAATTGACATCCCTATGCAATTGCTTGGTTTGTCCTTGATCTTTCACTCTTGCTGTGATTGACACCTGTTTGACATAGCAGATTGCACTGTGTTGATGTTGCTTATATATTGTTAAAAATTTGCCTGGCTTGAAGGCAAATATCTGTGCTGAAGTTGTTACCCAAATTCAGAGCCAAAGAATGAAATAGGTTGTATCTGCAGCACTATATGGAGGCTCACACACCACAGTAATTTCCACCTGATTTCTAGGAAGTTTAGTCCAAGTCACTGAAGTTTTATGTATGTTATTTCGTGCACTGCATAACCCAAAGAGAGAAAAGAATGGTGAAGGATTGTTAAATCTTCCAGATGTCGTTCAGAAATTTCAGACACAATTATTAAAAAATGGGGCGCTTGAGGTATGAGTAGCTTGTAATGATTTAGGTTTTGAATATATCAGTGTTATAATGCCCTAAGCTCTTAAGCTAACTAGACAGGCTACACAAAGCATTTTAAGAAGAAAGGGGAATTAATTATAATAAATCATCCAGCAAATGAGAAATGCAATTTCCTCTGTTGAAGTTTAAATATTAGAGACTGCACAGATATGGAAAAGCTAACAATCCAGATCATTTCCCTTGAGAATGCGCATCGCTCCTGGTGATAGATTTCACATGGACTGTTATGAGGGACTTGCGAACCTTTCAGCAGCATCCTTAGGGCTATGAGCACCTTTACTCAACCCGGCTCTCAGAATTAACCATTAATCTTGCCCACGTTTAATGGTGCACCTGCTTTCTCCTGTTATTCCTCTGATCATAAGGCTATTAAATACAAGTGTTTCTATGTGACACAGTTCATGAATCCTTGTCCCCAATACCTGCCTCTCCCTTAGGTAAGGCAATGTTAAAATTTTTTTACATGGCATTCCTCTAACTCCTGATCCCAAACCTCTGTCTAAATTCACATAAGTCCTGACTACATGCTAGTTTCATCACAAAAACAATGGCTCAGAGGGTAAAGGCAAGGCACACCCCACACTGGGTACTGAAAAACACTTCACACTGGGTACTGAGACTCCTGTCTTATGCCTTTACTTCTCTATCATCTCTTGCTCTCTCTCTCTCTCTCTCTCTCTCTTTCTCTCTCTCTCTCTCTCTCTCTCTCACACACACACACACACACACACACACACACACACACACACACTTTTCTACCTCTAGTCTTACAGACTAAGAAATGTCAAAAGGATTTACCACTTGAAGAACTCCAAACTAGGACCCATGTGACCCCATCCAAAACTGGTTCTTTGTAAGTACAAAAAACAACTCAACATCATATATGATGTACACTTATCAGACATGGCATGAAATAGTAAGGTTCCCAGGACCACCACAAATCTTAGGAGGCTGTATTGTCAAAATATGGAGCAGACCCAAGGACAGCACCAACTCACTCACAATCCACAGCAAGTGAATGGATTTCATTACGTTCTGTGAATCTGAATGGCCAATACAAATGACCCACATATTCTGTGAATGTGAAAAATATCAATGGCTTAGAGGCTGTATCATTGTCTGTGAATGTAGTCTTGAATGTATGGGTGGATTAAACCAGATAGTGCTGCACAGGGGTTGTGATATTAAAAAGTTACATGGCTTCTGTTAGCAGTTAATATTCTACTGCAGTGAAAATTATTTTTGAACTCACCTAACTGAATTGTAAGATATTACAGGCACTCTACTGGTCAATATTTCTCATAAAGGCACTTTAATTTTTTGATCTGTATTGAAGTTTGGACTCCAGATGCGCTTTAATAAGAACTCCTCACTCCACTACCGCTTTGTTGGTTTAGATTCAGGTTTGTCTTTGTAATCATTCTAATAACTTTGGTCTCTGAATACGTTGTCATAGGAGAACTTGGTCAAAATTTAATTGCAAATCCTTCAGTAGGTGAAATGGTACAAAACTTTCTTCTAAAGTGCTTCGATTTTAAGGAGAAGATTGCATAGATGTGTTCAGTGTGTAAGGAAATATAAAATTTAGGAGCACACCTGAGGTTCATACCCAAAATACCAGTTCACTGATTCTCATGAAGATGCAGGACATTATGAAGTATCTTAGCTCTGCTAGAACCATGAAACACTAACCTTGTGGTCAGCACTAATTGTTGTTAAATTTTGACCAACAGCACGTGTTGTTAAATTTTAATTCATAAGTAATGACACCTGGAATTATATAGTCAGTATCTCATCTACAGAAAAAATCTATAAGGAAATAAGTACGTAAGTCAGGAGCCTCGATGAGCAAACTGAACAAAGACTGAATATAAAATTACCACACCATAAAACTGATGAGAACATCAAATCCACAGCCACCAGAGGAAAAGGACATAAAAAGAACCACAAATACCCAGGACAGAGTGCTCTGAATAGGTTTTCAGAGCCAGTAAATACTTCGCTTGATAAACTGCCAAAGAAAAACCATCTGGTTACCAGAATAGCTCTGTGCTTAACCAGAACTGGTAGTGATTCTTCTACTGCCGCCATACGTGGCTAAATGCTACCGACTGCTATATACTACATCTTCATTTTCTAGAGCAAGGATGAAAAGTATTCTTGTCCCGTGCCATTAAACAACTACCTCAAAAAAAAAAAAAAAAATCAACTGCAGTCATTTTTCTAAAGGGCAACCAAGAGACATAAAAATAATAACAGATTTTTAAATGTCTAATTAAAAGCAACTTTCTTTATAAAAGTAATACTTTAAAATATTTTATTCCCATTATTAAAATGAAGAGTGGCATGATAAAGAGGGGAAAATAGAAAGAAGGAAGACATGGAGGAAGAGAGCAGAAGAAGAAAAAAATATATACACACACACACACACACAAAAATGATCTATTAAAGAGAGATACAGAATCACAAGTAACGACAAGGCAGGGATGCACAAAAGCAGAGGTAAGCAGAGCTAGTTATAGAAAGAGATGCCACAAGACCTGAAAATTAGCAACTACAGGAGCCATTAACCAGTGCGGACCTCAGACCTTGCTTTGATACTGCCCTTTGAAAGTTTAAACAGTTTGCATCTTTGAGGTGGATAATTTCCATTTAGACTGCCAGAAGCTCTATTTAAAGGAGGCACCAGAAAACTCACACTGGAGTTATCACTCTGAGCTTGCTCTTGGTTGTCCCACACTTTTCCACCCCACCCGCCCGCTGCAACTCCACGGAAAACCTGAGCCCCAGGGAGGCTGCTGACTCTGCCTATACGCAGGCATGCAGGGACCTGACTCTGCCATCATCAGGGGCAGGCGGCCCTGTCCTGAGCCCTGGATCAAAGCCAGATAATGACCCATCAGAGGTGTCCCAAGACATGCAAGTAACCGAGGGGCTCTGAAATCATGGTCAGTACCTTTGCAGACTGTTCTTACTTTTTTGTTTGTTTATTTGTTTGTAGTACTAGGGATTGAACTGAGCCCTTTTTAAATTTTTAATTTTGAGACAAAATCTTGCCAAGTGACTAAGTTGTCCTGGTTAGGCTCAAACCTGTGATCTTTCTGCCTCAGCCTCCCAGAGTGCTGGGATTACAGCTGTGCACCATCATGCCAGGCTATTAAATTTCTTACCTACTTCACTTCATGGCCTCTACCTGCTGTTGTACCACAAGTGCTCCTGGAAACACATAAATAGCGCCCCCTGGTTTCTCCATAGTCTGGATTACAGTCAGCTGTCCAGTGCTGTGCAGGGGACTGAGCCACATGCAGGGATTGGGAGGGAAGTTGGCACCAGTCCCTAGCCAGGCTGCAGGGCCCCTTCCCCTGGCCTACACCTCCATCACCTTCCCTGAATCTGTTGCATGTCGGCAGCAGGTTACTGCATTAGTGGAGGGACACCCCAGTTTCTTGGGGGTCCCTCTGAGCTCTGCGGGCAGGAGGAGCTGACTTCCTGCTGCTCTCTGCCTCCACCCTGCCAGGCTCCCCTGGGCACGTGTGTCCCAGTCTTTCACTTTTCCTGCCACAGCATGCCTGGGCCGCACTCGTGAGTCATTCCGCCCAGGCCACCCCCTCCTGCCGGGCCACTTGGATGTCACAGCCGTAAGGGGGCACCCGGGAAAAAGCCCAGCTATTCAGCGTCATGTCTGATAAACAACGTAGTGGCAGCCTTATTCCAGGCAGCTCTGAGCAGTGAATTCTTACCCGGCCCTTGAGAGGAGACCGTGGCTCCTCACTGCCCACGGCCATTGAGCTGCTCTGCGAGGTGTTCCACAACCCTGACTTCCTGCTTTAAAGTAGAGGGGGGGGGGGCTGGGGATTTAGCTCAGGGGCAAAAAGCGCCTGCCTAGCATGCGCAAGGTCGTGAGTTCGGTTCCCGGTACCGGAGAAAAACCAAAAAAATAAAAAAATAAAAAATAAATAAAGTAGAGGGAATTCCTCCAATAATTAAAGAAACAGCTCAAATTTAGCACAGATCTGAACTTTTCTTGGGTCAAATGAGATGAGGAAAGGGAGTTAATTACAATCACCACACATCAAATTAGCTCTATTACAGCAAAGTGGTTTTTAATCATTTATTCCCTCTCTTATGGAGCTGCTGCTCTAACTCTGGCATAGTGTTAAGGCTTTGCAAAGATGGGGCTCCTTCATGCATGGGGGCAGACTTGGGGTAAAAGGGGCAGGTGACGGAAACCCAGGGACACCCCTACACAGGCCACCTGACTTCTTCCTGCAGCTGGCAGGTGCTTACCTACAAGACCTTCCTTTCTCAGACCCCAGCTTATTCGTGGACCCAAACATTACCAAGAGACAAGCAGGTGCCACAGGCAGCCGTCGGGGTGAGGGCCAGGACCCAGGACACTGGGTGTGGAGTCGGGGAGGGGGAGGTGGGAGAATGTGGCTGCTCGTGGGAAGAGCAAAGAACCGGCTACAGGTGACTGGGCAGACAGGAAGGGTCGGAGCA